AAGCTATATTTAAGTAATAGTTCAATTATTTTAGTTTTTTTATCTAGTTATTTTTTTAAAAGATTTTATTTATTTATTCATGAGAGACACAGAAAGAGAGAGGCAGAGACATAGGCAGAGGAGAAGCAGGCTCCATGCAGGGAGCCTGATGTGGGACTTGATCCTGGGACTCCAGGATTACTCCCTGAACCAAAGGCAGACTCTCCCTGAGCCACCCAGGGTCCCTAATTCAGTTATTTTTAAAAGGTGGTTAATACATCAAACATTGTCACATTAAATGGGGTCGGGGTAAGGAGTGTAGAAACAGACTAACAAGTGATAGATTCCATAGTGGAGGCAGAAATTCATCTTTCTCTCCTAAATAGGAGGCAGGAAAAGGCAACAGATATAGAAACTGAAATAGGAAAAAAAAAAAAAAAGAAAGAAACTGAGATAGATTTAGGTGGTGTTCATGAATATAATATCTCCTATTCATTAAACGTTATGTGGCTTGCATTGTACTAAGCACTTAACATGCATTATCTCATTTAATTTTCACAGCTTCCCTATGAGGAGTGGATATTATTACTCTCACTTTACAACAGGCTGAAAAGTCTAAGTAACTTGCCAAACACCATTCAGTTTTTAAGCAGCTCTAATCTGACTTTCAAGCCCACACTCAACAGCTCTGCCTCTCTGGATGGATAAGAAAACTATTTGTAGATGAGAGAGATGCTTGTTAAACAGAAGTAAAGTTCATCTTCTAATTTATAAAATACCTTAGAAATTCTCTGAACTGCCTCTATATCACTTCATAATAAAGAAAAGAAAACTAAGATCCAATGACATTGTCATTTGAATCCAAGCTAATCAACCAGAAATACTTGGGCAGTGCTTTCCTCCATATTTAAAGGCTAGAAAAAAAATTAAATAAATAAATAAATAAATAAATAAATAAATAAATAAATAAATAAATAATAAAAAAATAAAGGCTAGAATTACATAATCTTTGTATACATCTGACAAGTTTTCTTCTATTTTATCAATTTAAAAATTGTGATGATATTGTCATGTATGTATTTATTTGAGAGACAGACCAAAGCAAGGGGGAGGGGGAAGAAGGAGAGGGAGATGCAGACTCCCCACTGAGCAAGGAGCCTGACACAAGACTCCATCCCAGGACCCCAGGCTGAGTGGAAGGTAGAAGCTTAACAGACTGAGCCACCCAGGTGCCCCTATCAGGGTATTTTAGATAGAATAGTTTTTCATTCTGTCTTTGGTGATCCAATTGCGTAGGTTATAAAAATTATCTAGTATCATTTATTATTTTCATATAATAAGTTCTATATATTTTATTAATAATATATGCATCCTGTATTAGTTATTTTTTTGAAATTAGTATTTATAGAAACTGGTAAGATTAGGAAGAAGATTCAAGGCTTAGAAAAGAATGCTTTTGCTACAGCAAAAGTGCTGGGATATAAAAGCAAGAGCCTTTTTTTTTTTTTTTTAAGATTTTACTTTTTATTCATGAGAGTTATAGAGGCAGAAACATAGGCAGTGGGAGAAGAAGCAGGCTCCCTGTAGGGAGCCTGATGTGGGACTCTATCCCAGGACCCCAGAATCACAACCTCAGCCAAAAGCAGCAGATGCTCAACCACTGAGCCACACAGGTGCCACAAAAGCAAGAGCAACTCTTGATGGTAATTTAATTATGGACTTTCAAGAACAAAGGGCCATATTAATACATACTTTGCTATTCTACAAAGCAATTATACAAAGGAACTGTTGAGTAATAACCAGCATTGTTGACAGGGGACTAGTTACAGACTGTTTTGATAAATGTCAAGATCTAAAAGAGGAAGAAATTGAGACTGGTGGTCCATGAGAAGACAGGTCAGCTATTTCAAGAAAGAAACACCATTTTTGTTAAACTTATATTCATATGCTACGGATGGTAACAGGTTTCAACAAAACCCTCCCAGAATTTACCTATTTTAAAGTGTCATTTGGAGAATAAGACTGATTTCTCTCCTAATAAGTAGCCACTCTAATATATGATTTACGTAAAATAAATTATAAAACCTAGATATTGTACAGTATAATGGTATATTAAAATGTACTCTGGTAAGTATAAATATAGAAAGGTCAGATCTATTCAGTGGAAAATTGGCTGGAAAGAACTTTTAGGGTCTTTTTTTTTTTTTTTTTAATTATTTAGGGCAAGGTAGACCCTGACTGGGTATTAAAAATGTGTTAGGTAACTGAATAAAACATGGCTCTGGTCCTCAAGGGGCTTGAAATACATTGAGACAGATAAGTAAATAGATAACTACAGTTTGATGTATAAAGTGCTGTGATAGTGATATGCTATGGAATAGCATAAAAAGGGTATCTAGTACAAACTAAGGAAAGATCATTACTTTCCATGATAGCATAGTCATGAGCATATCATAGGTATTTAAATAATAAATTGGAACCTACTTGATTTTTTAAAAATGAGATATCACCTCATAATTTTTGCTTACAGCAGTGTCTTTAAACTGTATACACCAAATGTTTTTCTTTATGAATACTTTTCATGTTGCTATAGTAATTTCAATGACCATATAAATTAATCAGTATCTACAGCTAACTTTTAGATGTAACTGGTAGTAGACAATAGGAAAGATTTCGTATTTTAGGAACAGCTGTGTTGCTGGACAGATAGTAAATGTTCAAAAATAATAATTAGTTTTTAAAGCTTCAGAGTTTATTCAGTGATTTCTTGTCATTATAAATGGCAAGATTTCATTCTTATGGCTGAGTAATATTCCATTTTACACACCCACACCCCGCAGCTTCTTTATCAGTGGATGGACATTTGGGCTCTTTCCATAATTTGGCTATTGTAGATAATGCTGCTGTAAACATTAGGGTGCGTGTATCCCTTCAAATCAGTGTTTTTGTATCCTTTGGGTAAATACCTAGTAGTGTTCAATTGCTGGGTCTTTTTTTTTTTTTTTTTTTTTTTTAATTTTTGAGCATCCTCTTTACTATTTTCCAGAGTGTCTGAATCGGTTTGCTTTCCCATCAACAGTATAAGAGAGTTCCCTTTCTCTGCATCCTTGCCAACATCTGTTGTTTCCTGTGTTGTTAATTTTAGCCATTCTTACAGGTGTCAGGTGATACCTCATCATAGTTTTGATTTGCATTTCCCTGTTGATGAGTGAGGTGGAGTATATTTTCATGTGTTTGTTAGCCATTTGTACTTCTGTGGAAAAATGTCTATTCCTGTCTCTGCGCATTTTTAAATTGGATTGTTTTTTGGATGTTGAGTTGTATAAGTTCATTATATATTATGGATACCTACCCTTTATCTGAAATGTCATTTATAAGCTTTGCGCAGTGGCAGTATCGTAGCCAATGAGGTTTATCCGAGGCGCGATTATTGCTAATTGAAATGTCATTTATATCTTCTCCTGTTCCAAATGTTGCTTTTAGTTTTCTTGTTTCCTTCACTTTGTGAAAGCTTTCTATCTTGATGAAGATCGTTTTTTGTTTCCCTTGCATCGGGACGCATATCTAGTAAGAAGTTGCAACAGCTGATGTCAAAGAGGTTACTGCCTGTGCACTCCTTTAGGACTTTGATGGTTTAACCTGTCTCCCATTTAGGTCTCTCATCTATTTTAAATTTATTTTTGTGTATGGTGTACAAAAGTGGTCTAGTTTCATTCTTCTGCATATTGCTGTCTGGTTTTCCCAACACTGTTTGTTGAAGACACTTTTTTTCCATTGGATATTCTTTTCTGCTTTGTTTAAGATTAGTTGACTATATAGCTGTGGTTCTATTCAATGATTTCTCTAATGCCACCACCAAACTCTCTAAAGAAATTTCTTATTCTTAATTATTAAGATTAATTGTGATGAGAGAACATGAGAAGCATGAATCCTGTGCAACAACAAATACTACATTAACAGTGGAAATCCTGAGCAAGTAAATGAAAGTCATATCCTTGGCAGATCTGAAAAAAAAATGGCTTAAAAACTTTAATGGTATCATAGGGACACTTTACATATGATTGGAATTAGAACTAATTCATATGAAAAATTAGAAGTCAGTACTAAATTCTGTGGTAGTGACTAAAAATATAAATTAATTCATTAATTGATTCAATAAATATTAGGCTTCAGCTTTATGATGTACGCTACACTAGGCCCAGACATAGATTTAAAAATAAAGTCTGGGAATGAGGCAGGGAAACACAGTCGTGGCACAGTGTGATTCAGTGCTACAATAGAAATAAGTACTTTGTAAGTACTCTTGGTGTTGAAAGAAGAGCAACTAATGGTGTGAGCAGAAAAAGAAAAAATCGATATGGATTGGATTAGTCATATATTTTTAACTTTTAATAAACAGGCAGTATGATATAATTTTATTGTGACTGTGTCTTGTTACTTGATATTTCATAAAACAGGAATATACTATACAAATTCCTTAAAAACCCTTTGAGGCTATTTATAGGTCATGTAGTAGTTGAGCCTGCCAGCAGCTTCTTACTTCTATAAATTTACAAATATATAAAATATATTTGTGAAAAATATACTTATAAAATATAAAATATTCCTATTTCAATATTTATAAACATATAAAATAATAAACTGTATTCAAAGCCAGGTAGACCTAATTCAGTGAACTTTGTCTACTATTTATTATATCTAACTAGTAGGAATAATTAATATGCTTTAAACATAAGATGATGGGGATCCCTGGGTGGCGCAGCGGTTTGGCGCCTGCCTTTGGCCCAGGGCGTGATCCTGGAGACCTGGGATCGAATCCCACATCGGGCTCCCGGTGCATGGAGCCTGCTTCTCCCTCTGCCTGTGTCTCTGCCTCTCTCTCTCTGTGTGACTATTATAAATAAATAAAAATTAAAAACAAAAAACAAAAAACAAAAAAAAATAAACATAAGATGATAAAATTTCCCTTAAGTATTAGCTAGTTTTGGTCAATTTAACAGTGCCTTTTCTTTCTTATTAAGGGTCTTCTGTATTTGCTGGTAACAGATCAGGGGTTTCTTACAGAAGAAAAAGTTGTTTGGGAAAGCCTACATAATGTGGATGGTGATGGAAATTTCTGCGACTCAGAATTTCATCTGCGGCCTCCTTCAGATCCTGAAACCGTATACAGAGGACAGCAAGATCAGATAGATCAGGTAAATTTGTCTTCATATCGTTTAAAATGCTCGTTCCTCTCAGGGTGCCTGGGTGGCTCAGTCAGTTAAATGTCTGACATCGACTCAGGTCATGATCTCAGGGTCCTGAAGTAAAGTCCACATGGTCTGCTTCTTCCTTTGCCCCTCCTTCTGCTCTTGCTCGCTCCTTCTCTCAAATAAATAAAACCTTTTTTAAAAAATTAAAAATAGGGGATCCTTGGGTGGCTCAGTGATTGAGCGCCTGCCTTCAGCCCAGGGCATGATCCTGGAGACCTGGGATCAAATCCCATGTGGGGCTCCCTGTATGGAGCCTGCTTCTCCCTCTGCCTATGTCTCTGCCTCTCTCTTTCTCTCTGACTCTCATGATGAATAAATAAAATCTTTAAAAAAAATTAAAACTAAAATGCTCATTCCTTTCAAATGTGAATTCAGTTATCCAAAACTTCTGAAATAAAGATTTATTGTGAAATATTCCTGACATTTCCTAAATCAGTAAGTGAGCATTTTACATTTGTACATTGATTATACACTTTGGTTCAGAAAGCCAGATTATATTGAACTGTGAAGGCCATGATACAGAGTTTGAATTTTATTTTAAATTTTAATAGGAAAGATATGGCAAGTGTTAAATGTGGAAGATGATCTACTTTACCATATTTATTTATTTGTTTGTTTATTTTTAAGTTTTTATTTATTTATTTGAGAGAGCGTGCACAGGCAAGGGGGAGGGGCAGAGGGAGAAGCAGACTCCTGGCTGGGCAGGAGCCTGATGTGGGGCTTGATCCCAGGATGCTGGGATCATGACCTGAGCCGAAGGAAGCCGCCTAACAGACTGAGCCACCCATGCACCCCTACTTTACCTTTTTTAAAGGCTACTATGTGAAAAATGCATAGGTATAAACAGACAACACAGGTGTTAGTAGAGACTAGCAATTCAAACAAGAGGTGATGATGGTTTAGCTATGGTGGCAGAGATGAGGTGAGCACAGATTAGAGTTCAATTTTGGCTAGTCAGAAAAAGTAGGAAAAGGAGAGGGTAAAAATGTTAGGTAGTTATTCCAAGCCTTAGAGTCCAGGGTAAGTAGACACTTAGAGCAAGAACTGCACTGATGAGTGGAATTCTCATTTAGATCTGAGACAGGTGAGATCTTTGTCCGCTACGGGTGGGCAGCCTTGGAGCCAGAAGTGTGTTTCTTATGAAAAGTGAAACAATGACATGACTTCTTCCACAACTGAGGCAGAAATGTGGTTATGTTGAAGAGTCGGCACATATTTCTAATGCTGATAACAATTTAAGTACATGGAGGCTGTTCATTTAGCCAATATTCATTGAGCAGCTGTGTTCCTGGCGTTATTAACAAGGTCCTCGGGAGGCAAAGATAAATCATTTAGTCCTGTCCTCAGGAGTTCTACAGTCTAACAGAGAGGCAAATATTTGACCAACTAATAATTATATGTTAAGTTTGATAGTGGCAGTTTGAATAGTAAGTTATGTGCGCACAGGAGAATACTTGAAAGTATACAAACAGCCATAATAATATGCTCATTTTCCTTCAGAAGCTTTATAGGGGCATTTAAAAATATATTACTTGAAAGAAATGTGCAAGATTTTTTTGACACTATATGTAAAAAATATCAGAACAGAAGGGATGAAAGTAAAGCAGTAGATTGCCACAGTAATAAAGTTGTAAGATGCTGAGAGAAATACAGTGTCTGTGGAAGTAGCAAGAAAAGAGTGAATATAAGACCATGGGACTTGGCAACGGGCAGTTTGAGGAAGTGAGGAGAAAAATTTGAAGGGCAAATTCGTCATGTTAGTAAGATATTCATGCTAGATAGTACAAAGTCTTCACAGGCAACAACCTTTTAGATATCCCCTGTAGGTAATTAAAATCTTCTCTTTTGAGTATAGGTTGGGGGAGATGCAGAGAGTAGTCAAGTTCCGTTCAGTACTAATTCTTAATGAATGTGTGTGAAATTAGATGATATAACTTTCAACCAACTGCATCACATTTTCTCATAGGATATAACTTGGGAGTGTTGGTGGAAGGAGGAGGTGGTTAAGTAATTGAATATCACTGAATGATGGGCAACTGTGTCATTGGCTTTAAAAATCATGGTTTAGAAGAACATTTAATAAATTATTTAATTATTTAATTATTTGGGAAATTCTTACAAATAAAAAAAGACTTATGACATTCAATGGAGGTTGGGAAATGTAGAATTGAGACAAAATAAAAAAATGTAAATAAGAAAGTAAATTGTAAATTACAGTAAATTGTAAATTACCATATCACTACACAAAGACAATTGATATATATCCATCTAGTTTTTTCTACATTCACATACAAATTCAAACACAATTTCTACAGATGTGTTTCTTTCATAAATATGGGGAAGTTTATTTTGTTTTGTTTATTTTTAAAGTAGGCTCTATGCCCAACATGCGACTTGAACTCATGACCTCAAAATCAAGAGTTGCATGCTCCACAGAGCCAGCCGGGTGCCCCTTCGGGGCATTTTGTGAAGGGTTTTTATTTTGTTTTTATTGGGGGGTTGTTTTTAAAGCTTTCTTGAATGCCTTATATACTGGTTCTAGAAATAATTTTAAATGAATTCCAAGAATATTGAGAACAATGGCAGCATCACTGAAATTATAGCTCTCAGAAATACTTAGGTAACTTTAATTTTTGTATTTAAACTCTGATATGTTTTTTAAAAGCCTTTCTCATAGTTTTGTAGGTATAACCTCTATACTTATCAGTTCTTGAGTAAAATCTCATAGCTAAAGATGGTTATAACTTAATTTCTTAGGACTATCTTATGGCATTATCTCTACAACAAGAACAGCAGAGCCAAGAGATCAATTGGGAACAAATACCTGAAGGAATCAGTGATTTGGAACTAGCAAAGAAACTCCAAGAAGAGGAGGATAGACGGGCTTCTCAATATTATCAGGAACAGGAACAAGCAGCAGCTGCTGCTGCTTCTGCTTCTACACAGGCCCAGGTAAAAACTAGTGTTCTGATTCTTAAATATAATGATCACTTTAGCAACAAATTTGTGCTGAGATAAATATTTTTTAGTTTTTTTTTTTTGAGATAAATATTTTTAAATTAGGTATTGACTCTTCAGTTAAGTTAGCATTTTAACACCCATGGGTTTTGTGACATTGTTATAAGTTTGTGATTATCTTAATATATTTCTCATTTAGTGAAATTATTTTTCCTGAGTTTCTGATGGCAAGATTTTTCAGTTTTGTTTTTTGTTTTGTTTTGTTTTGTTTTTTAAGTAGGCTCCACGCCCAGTGTGGAGCCCAACGCGGGGCTTGAACTCACGACCCTGAGATCAGGACCTGAGCTGAGATCAAGAGTCGAACGCTTAACCGACTGAGCCACCCAGGCGCCCCTTCAGTTGTTTCTTTTTTTTTTTTTAATTTTAATTCCAGTGTAGTTAACATACAGTGTTATATTAGTTTCAGGTGTACAACGTAGTGATTTAACGATGCTATACATTACTCAGTGCTTGTCAAGCTAAATGTACTTTTAACCCCCTTCACCTATTCTCCCCATTCCCCACTCCCATCCACCTCCCCTCTGGGAAGCATTTGTCTGTTCTCTATAGTTAAGAGTCTGTTTTTTGGTTTGTCTCTTTTTTCCTTCTTTGTTCACTTAGTGTTGTTTCTTAAATTCCATGTATGAATGAAATCATACAGTATTTGTCTTTCTCTGACTAGTTTGTCTCACTTAGCATTATACTCTCTAGCTCCATCCATGTTGTTGCAAATGGCAAGGTTTCATTCTTTTTCATGACTGAATAATATTCCATTGTATATATACCACATATTCTTTATCTGTTCATCTATTAATGGACACTTAGGTTGCTTCCATAATTTGGCTATTGTAAATAATGCTTCAGTAAACATAGGGGTGCATGTATCCCTTTGAATTAATATTTTGTATTCTTTGGGTAAATACCCAGTAGTGTAATGGCTGGTCAAAGAGTAGTTCTGTTTTTAATTTTTTGAGGAACCTCCATACTGTTTTCCAGAGTAGCTGTACCAGTTTGCATTCCCACCAGTGCATAAATGTTCCTTTTCCTCCACATCCTCACCAACACTTACTGTTTCTTAATGTTTTTGAATTTAGCCATTCTATCAGATGTAAGGTGGTATCTCATTGTGGTTTTGATTTGCGTTTCCCTGATGAGTGATGTTGAGCATCTTTACATGTGTCTGATGGACTTCTGTATGTCTTCTTTGGAGAAATAATCTTTAATTATTTTATTTTAAAAATTTTTTATTTACTTGAGGGAGAGACAGGGAGTGAGCAGTAGGGAGAGGGAGAGAGAATCTAAAGAGAATCTGCCTTGAGTGCAGAGCCAGACATGGGGCTCAATCCCACAATTGTGAGACCACGACCCAAGCTGAAATCAAGAGTTGGACACCCAACCGACTTAGCCACCCAGGCACCTCTTATGCCCATTTTTAAATTGGCTTGTTTCCTTGGTGTTAAGTTCTTTATATATTTTAGATACTAACCCTTTATCAGATATGTCATTTACAAATATCTTTTCACATTCAGTAAGTTGTCTTTTAGTTTTATTGTTTCCTTTGCTGTGCAGAAGCTTTTGATGTAATTCCAATAGCTTATTTTTGCTTTTGTTTCCCTTGCCTCAGGAGACATATGCAGAAAGATGTTAATATGGCTAATGTCAAAGAAATTACTGCCTCTGCTCTCTTCTAATATTTTTATGTTTTCAGGTCTCTCATTTAGGTCCTTAATCTGTTTTTTTTTATTTTTATGTATGGTGTAAGAAAGTGGTCCAGTTTCATTCTTTTGCATAGCTGTCCAGTTTTCCCAACACTATTTGTTGAAAAGACTTTTTCCTGTTGCATATTCTTTCCTCCTTTGTCAAAGATTAGTTGACCATGTAACTGTAGGTGTATTTCTGGATTTTCTTTTCTATTCCATTGATGTATGTGTCTGTTATTATATCAGTATCATACTGTTGTTTTTTTATTTAAGTAATTTCCACACCAAACATGGGACTCAAACTCATGACCCTGAGATCAAGAGTGGCACACTCTTCTGACTGAGCAGCCAGGTGCCCCAGTATCATACTGCTGTGATTATTACAACTCTGTAATATAACTTTGAGTCTGGAATTATGAGACCTCCAGTTTTATTTTTCTTTTTCAAGATTGCTTTGGCTATTACAGGTCTTTTGTGGTTTCATACAAATTTTAGGATTGTTTGTTCTAGGTCTGTGAAAAATGCTGTTGGAATTTTGATAGGGATTGTATTAAAATCTGTAGATTGCTCTGGGTAGTATAGACATGTTATTAATATTTGTTCTTCCAATCCATAAGCATGGAATATCTTTCCATTTCTTTGTGTTATCTTCAATTTCTTTCATGAGTGCTTTATAGTTTTCAGAGTACAGATCTTTCATCTCTTTGGTTAAATTTATGCCTAAGTATTTTATTATTTTTGGTGCAATTCAATGAAATGTATTTTTTAAATTGTTAATAGCTCCAAAGAATATAAACCAATGGGAACAAAGTCTTTTGTAATAATTAGAGGGGAGTATGAGGTACTGCTAGTAAGAATGTAGACTTCAGAGCCAGATAGACATGGATTGCATTTTCTGCTTCTGTCTTCCCGTTCCTGTCTCCCCATACTAGTTGCTGCACCTTGGACAAAGTCCTTTACCTCTCTTAGCCCCATTTTCCCTATCTTGAAAATAAAAGATAATGCTTAACTCTCAGATTTGTGGGTAAGAATAAATAATGTTAGTACTTAAACCCAATGTCTGACATGTACTAAGTATTCAACAAAGATTATTATTAGCACCTTTCCATTTTCCCTAGTTAAAAGTATTAAGTTCTAAAAATGTGGCTTTAAATGGGTTTCTTTTTATTGAATGAAAAAAATATTTCCCTTCTTTCATGTTTAACTGTACTATGCCAGAACGGTTCCTTTGACTCGGGAATATAATAAAGTAAGATGCGCTTTAAGGTCCAACAAAACATTATACATAGAGGTCTCCATTAAACTAAGTATTTCTAGTTCTAGTTCAAACATGGACTATTCCAAGCTTAAAAGTTAAAACCTACCATGGTAGTGGAAACCTAGCTTTTCACTAAAAACATGCTCTTATTTCACAAAATACACTTACTTCACACTTGAAGTTCTCAGGATTTTCTTTTTTCTCCTTTAAAATTTGTTTATTATAGTATTTAATGAGGACTTAGAGAACTTAATTTACCAAAAGTTGTCACCTTCTTTTACATATTCTAAACTTTAACATAAATATTTCTTGAATTTGAGGCTTCAGGGAATATAATCCTACATATTGTTTGAAATTTCATTTACTTAGAATAATGGATACATATATCTATCCAAAATGACAGAGGCAGTTACTCAGATACCATGTAACATAACAAGTCTGTGTACAAATAACTTTTTCATTAATGATTCCTTTCACTCTTGTGGTTTTTCCTTCTAGATAACTATGATTAAGCACCTTAGAAAGTTGAGGTAATTTCTTCCTGTTTATTTTTCTTAAAGCAAAGCCAGCCAGCACAAGCCTCTCCAAGTAGAAGACAACCTGGGAATAGTGAACGTAAACGAAAGGAACCTCGAGAAAAAGATAAAGAGAAAGAAAAGGACAAAAATAGCTGTGTCATTTTGTAACAAGTGTTGGATTCTGTTGGATGCATCTATATGTCTTGAGAAACAAAACCACAGGAGGAAAGGAAGAAAAACCGATAAATACCGTCTGTGCCTGATTTCCCAATGGATTTTGTTCATGTTTTTCAGGGGAAAGGTTGTTACTTAGTTACAATCAGACTTTTTCAAGTCACACAGTACACTCTTTATGAGCTGGAGTTTCATGTTACAAGTTGGAAATGCTGTGTGTTTTCATTCATGAAAAATACTTCACTTGTAGCCAAATAAGCAAATCACAGCAAATTTTGTGTCATAGTGACATTCATAACTCATATCAGTTAGTAAGCTATTTTATCTTCTGTTCTAACAATGAATGGAGGTAACTTATTTCGTCTGATTCCTTCCTGAAATCTAAATATTAGCACAATAGTTTCTGAAATTAATTTTTACAATGTTAAATTATGATCTAATCCAAGAGAAACCAGGGGTTTAATATAGGGATGTAAAAAGAGAGAAAAAAAATACAACACAAACAAAAGAACCATGACAAAAAATAACAGAAATAAATAACCCTTAATCCTATATTGGACTAGTTCAGCCCTTGAACAGCTTTACCTTTCTTTAGGAATGTACATTTTAGATATTATCTTGAGAACTGATAATGGAGCTTGGGTTTAATTTAGATAGAAAAAAATAATTTGTATTTCTTTTCCAATAGCAAAAAATTGCATAACACTAATACTCATAGTCTATCAAAATCAGATATTAATAACTTTGTAGTGTTGTGAAATTTTGAGGAATTTTGAAATATTTAATATAGGTAACTTGTACTACAGTTACTACTTATTGACAGTGTGAGAACTGAGTATAGGAAGGAAACCACAGTGGATGCTAGGCCTTGTAAATACGGGATGTAGAAAAGCAGATAGTTCAATGTCTACCTTTTTCTAGAATTACCTTGAACCTTAAAATTTAAATCATGTTTATTTGCTGGAAAATTAAGTATACTTACTAAAGCCAACAAAAAAAAAGCACATTTCTGAAAGGAATTTAGAAATAATTTCTGAGTCTAGTGAAAAAGCATTAATAAAAATCTGTTTGAAAATAGATAAGAATTGGGAGAAATTTATGTAAAAGCAATCAGATTTTTTTTTAACTTATAGGAACCAACCAAATAGACCTATAACATCTTGCAGTGTTTATAGGATTCAAAAAGAATATTTATTGAACTTTATTATGAGGCAACACATATTTTCCTGTATTTCTACTATCCTTAATAGTCCTTTTTATATGCTTTATATTTAAAAGTTTGTTTTAGTCATTTTTGAAAAGACTATTGCTGCTGCAAGTAGTTATGTGATTTACATTCTAAGCCTCAGTAAATTTGTTTAAGAGCATCTTAATCTAACCTGAGCATCGACTTGGAGAATGTTCTTGGGGTCTAGGATGACAATAGACTACAAAAAAAATGTGGTCTAGATTTCTTAAGCTATGTCCTTAACATTCTCCATGATCCAAGACCATTTATAGGATGAGTCTATATGTAAAAATAAAAAGTAAAGTCTTATTTATGGAAGGAATTATTCTAAGGGAAAAATCCAGGGTCAAGCTTTATGTCATGTCCTTCTGTATTGCATGTCTGGTTATGTTATACCATTTGTTTATCCCTTCAGATTTCCTATGCTAGCATGATAAATCATCATCAGAGAACCTGTTTGGGGTATAAAACTTTGGTACAAAATATTTGGTGAGTCTTTAATTTAATAATCAGATGTTCTACAGAATTCTCTGTTGGCTCAAGCAAGTTGACCTTAGTCCAAGTTTTCTCTTGATATCACTCTGTTGGTTGAAGGAGGAAACTCAAACCTCAGCATTTGTTTTTCCTAGAACAGATAGTAGGGACAATGCATTATATTATAATATGAAAAGGCAAAACAGTAAATCCTGAGAAATTTTAAAAAGCATATTTGAGGCATATTTTCCATAATTATATACTTATCTATTTATTACCCTTGAAAAAATATGTGTAAAAGTTATTCTGTTATTTGTTACTATCTTCTTAATTTGTTCCAAAGATAATACTGCCATTCTGCATTCCCTCTGGAAGAAAAATAAAACTCACTCAAAACCAGCAGTGCTGCTATCAGATAAGTAGATGTCAATGTATACTTATATAAAAATAACTAAAAAACATAATGTGTTGTTAATTCAACCTTTTTTCTATGTAATATTTCCAAGTCAGACTTTCTTACATTCCTGGAGTTCAGTTTGATATACCAAGAGTAATAATGATAAAATGTTTGATTACTGTGAGGAAAAAAATTAAATGTTCAGTCCTATTAAAACAAATTTCTTGGAGATACTGATTTCCCATCCTTGAAGATTAGAGAGTTATTGTGTCTTTATTTTCTTATATTTTGCTCAAGGCAACAAATTACATATTCAGACATTTCATTGGTGGTTTGGGTACATGGAATTTGAAAGTGGTATATTCAAGTCTTTCATTCACAGTGTTTTGTAGTACTTGAAAACTGTTACATGAACTGCTTGAGCAGAAGGTGGAACTTAAACATTTTTGTTGTTAATATTTATAGGCTAGATTAAGGACACATTTGCATCAACCAATCACTGTTAGAGCTAGCAAAAGCGACATGAATGTGAATGGATATGGTCGCTGTACTTTCTTGTACTTTATAAAGGCTATCTCTTAAGTTTAGTGACCAGTCTTCGTTAGCAATATGAAAATTGTCCTCATGTGTATCCCACTGAATCAACAATGCTGTGATTTACAATAGGTTATCAACATTTAAAAGTACTTGTGTGCCTGTTTGTATGTGTGTGTGTATCTGTTCTTCTGAAGCAAGGATCCACGACTTCTATTGTCAAAGCAATCTGGGAACTTTCCCTCAAATTTAAGAATTATCACTTAAAAAAATACACACACACACACACACATACATACACCAAGCAGTCTGAAGCAGCTAAAATTGGCATTGGCTGCTTCCTGTAATATGCTGGTCCAGTGTGCTTAGGTGAAGTAACTTCTTCCATGTTTCAAGGTGTCAGCTTAGCAGTCGAATGAGGCATAGATTTAAGTTTAGGATTAAGTTTTGGAATATATTTTTTTAGTGTCTCATATTTCTAGTATTTGACTACTTATCCCATATTATGTTTCAAATTCTTCCGCATACTTCTTGATCTTAGCTTAATTAAGCAAGTTAATAACAGGTTAGTTGACTGAACCCAACATTAACCATTTTGTACTTGCACAAAACCTTAATACTTTACTGAATTATCAGCTCAGGTCACTAAGTGAGACCTTGAGAGGAAGGAGGACTAGAAGTCAGATAGATATTTAAAGAAGGAATTGTTGTAGTCCATATATTAATGGTAATGTCCTGCTGGAGAAATATTCAAGGCAAGAATTACTAGAACTGTCCTCAAACTCATTTATTTAAAAAAAAAATCTTTTAAGCAAAAAAAGTAAATTGATTACATTTTACTTAATTTCCTATTAAATATACTAGTTATTTTAAAATATGGAAAATTTAGTTTGATAAAGTAACATGGAAGTATTAAAGACAGTACATAGTTTGTATTTTAAGAAAATACAAATATGGAAATGTGGAAGTCTGAACTGTTTTAAGTCTAAAAATCTGGCTTTCATCTTTCCAGGGGCAAATTTTCTGTGCCTCAGTTTATTCTAAACATGTAAAAGATGTGCATTTTTTAGTGCTTTAAACTCCTGAATAAAGGGCATAGTAAAAACTCAGAATATTACTTAAATAATCATAAACCTTATAGTTTCTGTTCTTGAGTGTGCAGATCTTTTTCCCAATGACAATATTTCTTAAAATCAGCTTTTTTTAATGCTGTTAAAATGTGTAGAATTATCTTGTCTTTGAGTATGGTATCATCTGTTCCCAAAATGTATTTTGTGGTTGCTTTTGTGTTTTGTGGACTGTAAGATCAAAATCAAGAGTATTTTGAGAGTATAAGAAGCATTAAAAGTCTATTTTTTTCCAATATCTTTCATATATCTAAATACTTAGATTCTCTTTGCCTTTTTCTCCATGGAACAAAGTACAGTGGTATCAGGTTACTAATTGCATATATGTAAACTGGTGCACGGATGGAATTCATTTAGGTCTGTCAAGTACTGTCATATTTAGTAGGACTATTTGAATTATTTGTTTTTTAGTATAAAATGTTATTTGGTAATGTGCAGATAAATTCCTTTTAGAAAGTGACAGAAAATCAGAATTCTTAGGTTCTCTGGGAATATAGTGGGTTTTTGTTTTTTGGGTTGTTTTTTTTTTTCCTGATACACAATACTTCTGTAGCTACTGAGAAAATCTTACAAAGAACTGAGGTTACTTGCCTCAGGTAACACTTTAAAACAAACTAAAGTTTAAAATTGAAGGCATCTTGGCCAAAATAATTACAAAAGAGAAATAATCTGAAGGACAGATTGCAGGACCCAGGTCATTTTAACTTCTTTTGAAGATCTAAATTTTAATTCACATGTCTGTTACTTAATGCCAGTGTCTCTGCTGTTAGAAATCAGAGTTTAATATATTGTGAATATGCATATGTATTTTCACATAAACTAGTTTCTAATTTCACTTTTCTAATCTAAAAAAAAAAAAACTCAAAAACTTGGGTCAAAGTCTTCAACAAGAGCTGAACTGTTTTCAAGTTCAGTTTTATCCTGTTGTCCTGAGATTTAGACTTCTCTGCATATAATAGGTATTTTTGAGAACATGGTACTATCCCAGATAAGGAATTGAAACATCATGGCAGAAATACAAATCCTAAACTATAAATCACAGATTTAAAAGACAAAAAGTTCTAGTATTATTCTATAATGGCTCTATTTTATCTGATACTAATTTTAAGAATTTTTTTCAAATCACTTGATTTGTCATTAACTTAAAAAACTTTATATGCCTCCTCTATGCAGTATTCTGCTTTGAGTGGCAGAGATGCCTCTTAGATTAGAGGATGCACAAAGCAAAATTCTTCTGAAGGTGATGCTGGCTTCTTTGGGTCTGGCAGTCACAGCTGCCATGAGTCCTGCCATAGGAAGTTAGGAAAGTGAAATGCCCATTTAAATTCCCAAATCAGTGACCTGTCCAAATGGGCATTATCACTAAAATACCTTGTAGAGTGGTTCTAACAGAATATGTTTAAAGACTAAGACTGGCATTTAATCTTTGAAGATCTGTCTGGTGTGTCTCAATATTGTCAGTTTTTATTCCTTTTTACATATTAGTTCTATGATCATTTTTTTCCAGAGTACATAGGCTATCATAGCTATACAGATTTTTAAAGATGAGGATTTGAGAAACTTCCAGTGGTTTTTGTTAAAAAGCGACTTTCCTCAATAAAATGACAAACATTGTTTTCACAGATCCACATATCACAAAAGTAGGACAAAACGATAGCAGACTGGTATATGACTGCTACATAAGGGTCAGAAAAACGGATAATCTTCACTTGTGCTTCTTTAGAGGTACTTGAAAGTCATCTCCTAAAAGTTAGTGCATGTGAGTCTTTTTCCTTGAATTGTGCAGGATAATTGGATGGGGCACATATTTTTGGGGAATAGCAAGTGAAATGGTATCATGACTGCAGAGGCAAGTGATCTTGAAATGTAGTAAGAAGAAACAAATTTTCTTCCTCCATTTTCATGTCCGACTATTCAGGAAGTTACTATGACATATCATAGATCTCTTGTGTTAGGCCAAGATTGGCCAATTGAAATAGAGTTCTCAAAGAGTTTAAATATATAGTATATGAGCACTTGTTCTTTCCTCCTCTTCTTTGCTATCTTAACACCCTTTCTATATCTGAAATAATTCATTCATCCACTTTGCTTTGTGACCAGCTTTAACTGCAGTTTTAGGCTAATAGCAACCATAGAGACTGATACAAAACAGCCTTGAAATACATTTTTCAAATGACACCTAAAAGCACCTACCCAACTTAGAACTGAACTGAATTTCTATGAAAAAAAGTTATTGGTTTTAAATGCTAATTATGTTAAAACTATTTAATTCTAAAAACTAGGTCTTAAACAAGTTTCCAAAGTTTCATTTTTGGAGGATATTCCTTAAAAAAAAAAAAAGGGCATACTGAATAGATGGGAAAGTATAAAATAATTCTAACAGAATTATTCAGTATTATTCAACATTTAATTTCATGTTTGTTATTGTACCACAAAGATAGTGTCATTCTTGAATTAAAATGTTGGACTTTTTGTTAATGTACTTAAAACTGTAACCAGTGATAACACCCTTAGTATTTTTTATTATAGATTATATTTTATTTCAATAAACTTTGATATTTAGACCAAACAGTCTTTCTGCTATGTATATTCATCTCATGATGAAGGTACTTCTTACAAAGTGGGGCAATGAAGAGATGGGGAACTGCCACTGATTCACATTTACCTAGGGTTAACTCTTAAAATACTTGGGCCACTCTTGATAAAGACAGAGTTTTATCCCTGAAGGCAATGAACCAAAAAACAATTAACTCTAAACTGTACAATACTTAACTACCTGATCCCAATGGTAGATTATTTCTGATACTTTTATCCTCTTGGAGAACTAAGCTAGAAAAGAGCTGAGAAGGGATCGCTATATCCTTATACCAAGCCAACCCTAATGTAAAGTTTTTGTCCAACAAAATAATGTCCAAACCGGCTAATGTCTAACATTTCTGTGAAAGTTGCTTAGACACCATAGCCCTCTGAGCAGAATTAATCATTGCACATAGTGTTTTGTTGACTTCCCCTTGTCACAGCATTTAAGATAAATTGTGAGCCTTCTAAGAATAGGAGTCCAACCTTACTCATCTTGTATTCTTGGCACATTATATGATCATTGGCACTTTAATGAACTTGAATATCTATTTAGAGGAATTTTAAAGATAGCCATATGAAATAGTCATTGCTTGCCTGCCCTTTAAGTAATTAAAATAGGTAGATTGGGTTGAGTTGATTTTCTCCTGTAGCATAAAAGTTATGTAGATAGAGGAAATTAAAATTCCTAATCTTTTATCCCTGCCTCTGTTTTTCCTTGGGCATCATCTTACATCCTCCCAGAGTTGATGGAAGAATAATTTAGAGAACAGCAGCTTCAACAAAACTAGAGTAAGCAGCATTGTCCTTTCCTGTTTCATACCTTCTCTCGTAGGATCCCTTTCCTCACTCTATATTATCCTATGAAATAGGCACCTATTGATTTGTTGGAGCTGAGATTTGAAGCCAAGCAGTCAGACTCCAGAGGCGTGCTCCCAAATAGATCTGGAAGGGGACATACAGGGTCTAAGCCAGGTCTGTGTGCAAATTCTGACCCTGGACTTTTGAAGTCACATTTGTTTCAAACCTGCAGAAATCTGTAAAATCAGGCCTATTGGCCTTTTTTGTACTTTTTAGTTTTAGAGCAAGTTAATACAACATAGCCTGTTTGCTTATCTCTAAAATGTAATAATTTATACCTTGTTGAAAAGATAATGCATATATAGTGAGAGGCACATAACAGTAAATTATAACAGATCATTATTAATAGATAGGAGAAACTTATTTTATTTATTTATTTTTTACCAAGCCAAGAACTTTAAGAAAGGCTCCTTAAGCCTCATAAAACATTTCTGTTCTCTCCAAATATAATGCTGATCCTTCCATAAGGGCAATCAACCTGGTCTCAGGATGACCCAGAGTGAAAAAATGTGCAACAAGCAATCTTAATACATAGAATAATATAATAATGAATTCCATATAAAACTGGAAACTGGTATGTTCTTGAAGACTAGCTAGGTTATTTGCTTATCAAGAATAAAATACACCAGGAGACCTAGGCACCTCGACTTTTCATAAGAAGGACCATATTTAGACTAAGCTGTAGCATTACATTTAAAAATTTTTTTAATTTATTTATTTATAATAGTCACAGAGAGAGAGAGAGAGGCAGAGAGAGAAGCAGGCTCCATGCACCGGGAGCCCGATATGGGATTCGATCCGGGGTCTCCAGGATCGCGCCCTGAGCCAAAGGCAGGCGCCAAACCGCTGTGCCACCCAGGGATCCCTAGACTAAGCTGTAGCATTACATTTTAAAAATAAGCGTAAGTCAGGAGCAGAGGACAAAGAACCAGACCAAAGTCAGCACCTTTCAACAAAGTTCAGGGTCGTGTAGGAGAAGAAAAAAAGATTTTTTCCTTCTGCCCTTGTAAGTTCTTGACTCGGGCCCCATATAAGACAGATTAATAAGAAAAAGAAAAGAAAAGAAACATTTATTAACATGTATCCCTCATGTACACTTGGGAGATAGGGAATGATGCATTAATTCTCAGAGGTGGCTTAGAATTCAGGCTTAAATACCATTTCAGATAAAGACAAAAGAAGAGTGTGGGGTAGTAACCAGAAAAAGAAAACAAAAGCAAGGTTTGGTTTTTAAAATTTATTCATGAGAGACACAGAGAGAGAGGCAGAGAGAGAAACAGGCCCCATACAGGGAGCCTGATGTAGGACTCTATCCTGGGATTCCGGGATCATGCCCTGGGCCGAAGGCAGGCGCCAAACTGCTGAGCCACCCAGGCGTCCCCCAATTTAAAAATTTTAATGCGCATAACGAACCTTACTTTTGAGATGCCTGGGTGGCTCAGTGGTTGAGCATCTGCCTTCGGCCCAGGGTGTGATGCCACAGTCCCAGGATGGAGTCCTGCATCGGGCTTCCTGCATGGGGCCTGCTTCTCCCTCTGCCTATGTCTCTGCCTCTCTCTGTGTCTCTCATGAATAAACAAATTCTTAAAAAAAAAAAAAATCTTTTAAGTTGGTGTCTTCTCCATCGACAAGATTCTTTTGTGACTTAGTCATTTTCTTTCAAAGGAAGATTTCCTTTGTAAATTTAAATTTCCATTACAAAAGGTAAACTTCTGTTTTCAGAACTCCTATGTCTATTTCTCAAAAAATACACAAAGAGGCATATTTTGGGATGGCATTTTGTTATCCTTCAGGCAACTC